CAATAGTTGTGAAGTTACTTTACTTTGCTGCAAGTGTCTTCGCTCCCCGTGTCACTGTGACTGTCGTCTCTTAACACAGTCAGATGTCTTTCTTTATCTCTCCCTGAGTTCCTTGCTCCTGCTTCTCAGATCCAAAGATAAAGGGCAAGTGAAGACACATGACCAGAAAAGGCACTGTGTACTTGACCAAATCCCTCAGTGACCCCTAGGTGTGTGCTGCCCACACCTTACTTTTGATTCCCAAGGTTCTGCCCAGGGTGACATCCAGACAGGAGAGCGTCCTGGGCCATTTAAAAGCTGTGTGTCTTGGGCACGGGGACAAGTGCAGGAGCTGGTTCCGGAGCCGGCCCCTCCCCACCTCTGCTCCTCTCTTTCCCAAGGACCCGCTGCCAAGCCCCCAGGATCCCTGATCTTCTGTCCTCTTCTACTCTACTCCAAGCCCTTTTCCTCTTCCTTTAATCCCTAATTATCCCCAGCTGGAGTGATCTTTCAATCACAGTATCTTAAAAAAAATTCCTGCAGCTGAAAAAGAGGTCTCCAGAAGTCAATGCCAATATGCTGGTTCCTGAAGAGAGCCCTGATTAGGGCGACCCTCACCAACACTCACGGGGCATCAGACATGTTGCCAGTTCGAACACCCCAACAAGAGTTTGATGTGACCCCAAGGCATACACAGCATCCCTGCTCACAAAAATGTAGTTGGCCCACTTATCCGTTATTAAGAACCAAAAATAAAAAAAAAAAGTTCATGTTTCTTACTAAAATTATGAGGTGGAAAAAGAAATTGTAATAGAAAAGAACAAATTTGACTCCATGTTAGATGTGTTCCTTGGGCTTTAAACCTGTGCCCTGATTTCAAGGCTCAGACATGCTAGCTGTGCACCTTTTGTAAAAGAAAGTTGCCTTTAGCCTGTAATATCCAGGACAGCCTATTATCCAGGCTCTGATCTTTAAGGATGTTAGCTCTTCTGCATTTATATAGAGATGGCAAGTTGTAAAACAGAGAATAAACTTTGATTTTTTTGGAGGTTTTACAAGGGCACCATGATTTGACCCACATGGACAGCTGCAAGAACAAAGTATTCCAAGGACAAACAATTCATACAGCAAGAAGTTTGCAACAACCAACCACACCCTTGCCCCTTTTTAGTATAAAAGGAGACTGAATTCTGACTTGGGGAAGAGGGTTCACCAGGATATCAGTATGCCATCTTCTGGGTCTGCCAGTTTTTCAAATAAAGTCACTATTCCTTGTGCCAACAGCTCATCTCCCGATTTATTGGCCTGTCATGGAGCAAGCAGAACGAGTTTGGACTTGGTAACAAAATGACAGCATTGTAGGTAGTATGTCTCCACTGTTTCCTCATTTCCATTATGTCACAACCTATCCATTTTATTTGCTGTTTAACAACACAACCAAAAAACCTATCATAGGGAATTAATTCCACGGAAATAAAATTACTTCTACTCCTTCAAAACTTTTTACTTTTCTATTTTTTTTGTTTTTCTTTTTGAAAAAAATAAAATAAAATCATTTTATTTCACTTATTTTGGTTATAGCTACATATTTTAAATTCTACAGAGAGATTTAAATTGCAATAAAAATTGTTCATATATTAGTATAAATATATATACACAATCAATGCGGATTAGGAAAGGAATGGATATTTACTAAAAATCCACTGCACATCCAGTCTTTTACAAGCATATCCTGGAATATAAGCTCTATGATCCAGGGGTCCCCCACCCCCATTTTCACTGCTGAGTCCCTTAGTCGTCAACTTTGCAGACACCACCATAGAACCACGCAATAAGTATTTTAGGTATAAATGAGGGAATTAGCTCATTCAATTCTATAACAAAAACCTTAAAATAAATACTGAACTTATTTAAATATAAAGAAAATTGGACACAAATAAGTACAGTTCCTTCCCCAATGTCACAGAGCTAGTAACTGGTAAAGGCAAGATTTGAACACGTCTGTCTGTTTCTAAAAACTAAGGTGGAAATCTCATTCGACCCTGGAGGGTCCAGCAGCACAGCCTATCACCCTATCTTTGTTCAGATCTAGCCTTAGACAGCCTGAGACAGCACCCCATTCCTATGGAACTCGAGGGCAAATGATAACAGTAAAGATTTTATATCCAGTAGTATCTTAAGTATCATTTACATAAAGTGTCAGCAGTTCAGCAGGAAAACTCAGAGAAATTTGAATGGATCCAGAGCTTTTTGCTGATTAGAAACTCAGTCTATCAGGAGAGAGTGACCTTCCCATGAGAGGCCACATGGACATAAACTAAAGTCAGCTGAGAAATGAAAACTAGCAAGACCCTGGAACTCAAGCAAGAAGGATCCATGCCATCCAACAATAATTTGCCTCTTCATCCGCTTGGACACGATGGCAGAAGACCCAGGTTTTTGTCCAAGTTACACTATCATGGATTCTCACCCATAAAAAGTTATGACTCTATGCTATCTTAAGCCCTTTCCAACTCAAAGATGATGACACCAATATCTCAGAAAAATGTCTATGTCTCCAATTGCTGTCTTCTATTAGGAGAATATTTCCATGGCCACAAAGCAGAAATCCAATTAAAAACACCATGCACGAAGCCGGGTGAATGTCTGCATAAGAGACTTTGTTCTCACACTCACTGAATGAAAACTCAGAAAAAGTGGTCCTTCTCCCTCAGCAAGTGGGAGGTAGCCTGATTGTATGTGTGTGTTTGTGTGCATGTGCGTGTGCACGTGTGAGTGTAAATCAAATACAATCAAGTCTGGGATGTGTACAGATTTTTTTTATGTTACTGTCATTTCATGAGGATGATACAACCTTTAAAGTAATTTGAATCTAGTGTTCTGAGACAGACTCAGGCTCTTTTGGTGGAGGAGGGGAAAGGGGAAAGGAAAGGAGGAAAGAAGCAAATGAAGCTAAGGAGTGAGAATACTGCTAGGGATGGTCAAGACAATAATTTTGTTCCTACTTGCATCACACACAAATTAGGGACTGGCTTTCTCACATGTCTTGTCAAGCACTGAGTTGCAGAAGAAGAGGCGACAGCCCAATTCTCACTGAGCTTGTGACAGTAAGTGGCTTATAGACACAAATCATTTACCCTGATCAAAGACTCTAGCAGCATGCCATAATTCTCCTATTTTGAGAGACAAGAAAACAGGAGTTCAAAGAGGGTATATAACTTGACAAAAGTCAGAGGACGAGTAAACAAGAGACGATGAATTCAAACTCAGTTCTGAATGCAGAGTCTGATCTTCCCACTCCCAGGACTGGAAAATCCTTAACATACATGCTCCCCAGCTCCCCTGCAGTTTTCCTGGCACCAAGCATTTCCCATGGCGATGGTCTCCAGTTATCACAGACACAGTGGTCTGTCCAGCCAATGACCTATAGCATACCTTGATCATCTACCTGCCACGCTCAACAGGCTTCTCCATAAAGGCAGGAAAGCTGGCTTTCAAGTGCATACAAAGCCATCCCTGGTCTTATCTGGGTTCTTCTGCAGCTTCTCCAGCCTAAAGGCAGCCATGAAACTACTCACAGTTTGTACATGAGCCACACTACCTCTCTCCATCTGTCTCCACACCTTTGCAACTTAGCTATGACCATTTTGACAATCTTGGAAACAAATTTTTAAAAACAGAAAAGAAAGGATTCTGGAACAAGTACTTAATACTTACAATTTTAAATGACAAGTTGCAAAGTGAGTATTTACCAACCGAATCTGCCTTCCTAGGTGTCAGTTTAAAGAGTTAAAATATATAATAGCAAAAAATTCTCACTTACAAAATTAACAAAAACATCAACAATAATCTAGAATAAACTCAAAATTAATGCCCATGTTCTACATGAAGAAAACTGCAGGACTGTACTGAGGGGTAAAGTACGAGGTGTGAATGTAGAGACATCAACATATTGCATGGAGGAAAGCAGTTTTGTAAAGATGTAAGTTCTCCTAAAGATAATTCAAAACTTATTAAAAAATCCCATGAAAACTCTTATCTG